GTGGTCTGATGGATTTTGTGTTAAAGAATAGCTGATGTCAAGGCATATTAACAGCAGGAACTCTGTTTTCAGTAGCAATCTTAAGATTGAATTATAAATCAGAGTGTTAAAAGAAAAGAGATAGTTCGGTAAAAAGCATATATGAATCGTACGAAGACGTCATCAAGAGGACCTGGGCATGATTTATTCCGCCTTTTTTATCCAATCATCGACACTTGGATTTGAATTCTGATTTTTCATCCGCTGATCATAAACACCGCTTTCTCATCCATTCGCGACCAATCGCTTGTTCTTGTTTTTGGCCACAATATGAAGTGCGCTTTCCATTTGTCAGAACTGGCTGGCGAGACCCAGAGAAAATGTCATTATATATCATTCCCATTTAGTTAGAAAATTCAAATTTTCAAATTCTAGCCATTATTCTACAGAAAACCTCGAAATAACTGAAAAATGTTGACAAAAAGCATTATATACCTCTAAATAGATTGGACTGGCCGGCCAGTTCTACCTAAATGGAAAGCACCCTGAGTCTCATTACCAACTTTTAAATCTTCCGCCGTTTGGATAGTCTCTTGCCAAATATGGTTAGTCCTTATGATCGCGGAAATTACTGTTAGAATCTTAGATACAGACCCAGTATTCTGAAAAATGTWCTTTCAARGCCTTGGACTGAACTATACCTAMGTACTCCAAGCAGTACCTTATTTTGAACTTATTAGGACCACCAGTCATGACAGCTGGATAATAGGACTGAATTTCTTTCTGACGAGCATGTACATTATTGCATGTGGTAGAGTGAAGCGCTGTCAACATTACTACTCAATTTCACGATCAATTTCCACGGGTGTGTTTGACAGTTTTCCCTGTACAAAATCACTCTCAGATGGTAGCTCAAATTTCTAAAACTAACAATCTAATGCCTCACTCAAAACTTTTTTTTTCTATTTGTATTATGTATTTATGCTTGTATTTCATTCCAATATTAAGAATATGAACTTGCTTAATTTATAACATGAAATATTTCAAAATTCATGGCCACTGTTCATGCTTTCACACCACAAATGTTCTGAAAATGACTCAAAACGTTTCAAAGCTTATCCGCCATCTTGAATAACAAAAGTTATCAAACATGGCCGAAAACTTGAGAAGTGCTTAGATACTTTCTTAATGTATTATACAGCAGATCTTGGAGAGGTTTTCAAACCTGAAGTAGATTTCTTGTAAAGTTGTATAAATGGAAATTTCTTTTTCAAGGGGACATCTTTTTCAAAAGTTCGGTTTCATCACAAATCGCATTGTACGTRTATATTTAATAAATCATACCATAAAATTCAAGTGTCCCTGAATGTATTATTTTATTCTTTGTTTCGCAAAAGGAATATTTACATTACTTTATGGTGCTGTATTTCCTTCGCTTTTATTCATGTTGAAGTGCTTTCGAAATTCTTTTAACATCCATTTCCATGCGCTKGTTTTAACTCGTTATTTTGCAATATTTTGATTCRCAGAGCACGTTCAAAYAATGACGAATTAAGTTTTGTTTCCGTAAAAGCATTTTAAGATTTCAAAACAAAATCGAATCATGCGAAGGATGATGCTTTGCCCCTAATTTCTTGCTGAAAATAATCGACGCCGTGTGAGTGCAAAACATTATAAGAAGTATTCGAGTAACCATTTCCATATATAGTCAGGGAAATTTTGATATTTTTGAAGATCTTGTACAATGTCTGTCAAATATTTATAAAATAACAATTACTGACATGACGAGCTCAGCTCATTGATTGGTTGAAATTTGGAAAAACATCAAACACAGCTTTCAAGTAAATAGGACCTGTTGTATCGCTTTCAGGTCGTGACTTCTCGTGTTCTCGCAAAAATTCCGCGTKTGTGTATGCGAATAGAAAATTTGATTTATAATCCTGTAATTTCCCTGTAAATTTCAAATGCTTTTTAATATTAGCTTTCTATACATTTTGTGACATGGTACTATCGAAATCAGTAATTTCTTCCCATCGCTTCTACTAGCTTAATTGTTTAACGAAATCTCGTTTTTTCTCCCCTTTACTGATCTTATTCTGTTAGTAAAAGCTTTAAAATGACATCTACCTGATATCGCCTWAATCGCCTTTTGACTAGATTTATAATTTGTCGCTTTTCAGTGTCTTTCACACACCTGCGAATTGTATTTTTTTTACAGAGCGCTGTATGCCAACGAAGGCCCCAGTGCAAATTTCCAATATACATTTTATAAATTGCAGCAAATTGTATCAAATTGTTATAGAACTTAACTCGTTCATTGTTGATCATACAAACAAAGTTTCAAACTACTCTGAATGAATATACACTTATTTCAAAAAACGTTGTCGGGGAGAACGGCGAGAGGCGATTGTCGAAGGGAGAATGCACGACAAAAAAAGACTATGGTTACGCTGTCTGACATACAAAAAATTCAATTGTTGGGTTTACTTGCGTGAAAATGGAGACTAAATGAAACCAATGATGACCATAGAATATCTTATGGCAAAAATCAGTTATTATTTCCCATCCATTAGCAAAACCCATGACTCCTTTCGGTCGTACAATCGCCGTTTGACAATTTCCATTCGCCATTTTATCCGACAACCTTTTTTGAAATAGGTATATATCAAAAAAGAAAAGAATTTCTGAGCAACTTTTTTCGTGGGGCATAAGTTCGAGAAGATGAACTAAAATGTTAGATCATGGTAGAAGAATGCGTGGTGAAAAGTAACTCGATTATTAACGAAAAACAAAATATCCACAAATTAAGAGAAGTTTTATCTCTGGAAATGATCACATCTTGTGGATTTCGTAAGTACTACGTAAAGGAAATTCTTAAAGTGCAGTAACTGCCCACACGCTAAAAGCAAAATATTGATGTATAGCACCGGCTTTAAGAATCTCTTAAAAAGCTTCCGCAAATGATGACAAGCGTCCTGCTGTTTAAGTTGGGTGTTAAAAACTTCAGAGCTAATGGAAAGACGGCCTTCACGAAAATCTATATTTCTCTACTTCCTTTGAAAACAAATATCAAGCGAAACGTGCTGTTCGCGAGATAAACAAGATTTTGTAAATAAGATTAAGAGAACGAATCTAATTTAATTAAGAAGATTTTAATATGTTTGTCTAGATTGAAKTTAAGAGTTCAGTTTGCAAATAACTTGCCAATGAAGGACTTGACTCGTTATGTTATTTTTTTTTAGAATGAGAATTTAAATTGCACTTAGATCTAACGGTGTCGTTAGGGTTGCTGAAGTATGATTAACGCCAAAGGGTGTTGAATTTTCAACGTTCTACCCGCTTGTTATCATTAAAAAATCTCTTGGGAGCATGTAGTMACATGCGATTCATGATATATCGTTTATTTGATTACTGGAATAGATATTGGATTTCGATAAAATGTAAATCGCTTGTGAAATTCTTGAAAAATTTGAGGTTACAAAAATATTAACATTTTATTAGTATTTGATATTTTTGCTCTTTTTGTCCTTTTTGATTGTTGTTTTAAAAAAAACTCGGTAGATTTTCCTGTAAAATCCTTTAAATTTTTCATAAGACTTTTTTTAATTGTTTTGATTATTTTTTATTTCACTATGAAAAACTCAATTCCATACTTGTTTTTTCTCGAATGCAAGAAATTTTTTTAGCAAATATATTATATATTAGTATATATAGGAAGGGGTGTCTTACTTCTGAAGATATAAGCAAAACAAGATCTTTAGCGCCGCAACTCACTCTTTGAGCGAATTATTGGCCTCCATGGCGCGCAGTTTGACAAAAAAAAACACCTTTCCCAAAACAACTAGAAGGCACCGTCACCGTGTGTTTTTCGTTTTCGTTTGGACAGAACAGGATTTTTAGAGAAACTTTGACAGCGTTCTCTTTATTTTCCAAGTCAATGTGTTTAGAATTTTGYCAATATTCAATAAACGATTTCTTATGAATGATTTGGTGATGTAAYTGTATAATTATTTTCTCGATATTATTTTCTTCTAATGGGAAAATATCTATTTCAAATTTCCAGTCTTTTCACGCCTATATTATTCCATTTTTTAATCTTTGATTGAAAAATGAGAGGAGATCATGGTATCAGTCCATTTCCTTAACGGAAGACGAGGAAATTCTAAGAAGACGGCAAATATGCATTTGCCRCTAATAAGACTCATTTCACTTTTCCCAACRTTAGMCCCGAGTCAAACGTCGAACTTAATTTTTACCATTTCAGATTAACGTATCAATTATTCATCGTATGGTTTTAACTCATTGCTTTGAGGTCATTTACATCGTGGGTKACATTTTTGTCGTAATTCTGTTACATTAAGGTGCAACTTTGAATACTTTCGAATTCTCTTAAATTTATATCTTCTAGGCTGTGCTATCTCCTATTTTAAAATATATTTTGCCTTAAAAAAGCTCATTCAGATTTAAAGTTATTTTCTTGTATTTATTTATATTAAAATTCCTATTTCTATATTTTTGAGCTTAAAGAGGGTATGGGGGTATCTACCCATATCACCCCCTGCCACTCCCCCTCCCCCCTTACTGGGTCCGCACTTGAAAACATTAATTCTTAGGAATTTATTTTGCATTCGCCTCTTCAATATGTTACGAAATTATCGATCTATGGACCTCACTCCAAAGATATTATCTGTTTTAGTATGTTTAGAGTAAACATCTATTTTTAACTGAAATAGTTCACTTTTTATGGAATAAAAACACATGTCTATTCTTAGATCATGTAAAGCTTTGTTTAACTGTAAGGGTATTAAGTTTAAATCTTATTAATGACTATGCGAATAGAGGAGCCACTGATATAATCACGTTAAACTAAACTAGATATCTAGGGATAATAGGTCTTTACATCTAACAGGTGGTCGCTATTAACAACTGAAATCGTCTACAGCCCAGCAAGCCTTTGCGGGTGGAGCGCAGCTAAGGTTTCCAAAGTCGTTAAAAATTGGCAGTTGATGACAAATTTAAAACAAGTTTAATATTTCGAGGGTTTTGATATGGTGCTGCGATGATGCAGCGTTGTTTTTGCGACATAAAATTGAAAAGTGTATTTTCTATTTTTCGCATGACTCGTAGCGCAGAAAGTTGCAACATATCAATATATTTGATAGTAAGTGCATTGTGCCGCGTTTTGAACTAATGTATTTACTCTCGAATGTATGAAAATAAAAACTTCGGCTCTTCTTTTGTCTATCCAGGATCCAAKAAGAAGTTTAGAAACAAAATACCGTCATTGTATAGGCTATCAAATGTGGGAGTGTCTTCAAACATCATTATTTATGAAAACGCGTAAATTCCAGGCATTCCTTAATCGTAATCAAAGTCCCCCACGTGGTTTAGCGTGCTACGGTACCTTTGACTGCCTTCTTGGTAATCRCTTTTTGAAATTATTTACTTTTTAAATATTTCAAACACAGTAGGCTACAAATCCAACCTACAAACCGCCAGTTGTTATATAAAGGCCAAAGTTAAAACGTTGCAAAGTTACGCTTGATATTCACTTCTGTTAGTTACTAGAACGAAGTAAGAACTAAAACAAGAGCATGCCTTCTTGCAAGTTGTATGTTTTCTCGGCGCTTTTACTAAGTTTAGTCATTCTATCATCTTCTCATAAACACTACACTTCACCGATTGGTAAAAGAAGGAGAGATACTATTGAGGTAAGTCTCGGTGAATTCAAATTGATGTAAATTTCAAAAGTAAAATTTCAAAGAGAGTTTTAGTTCGTGTCCACATGAAACTCTTTGGACAAAACGTTACTTAATTGTCTATGTTCAAGCGATCTTTTGAGATCGTTGCAATAGAAGCTCTCACAAAATTGCCAGTTTTAAGTCTTCTAGAGGCAGCGTGGATGAGAGATGTCAATGCTCAAATGTTGAAGTTTGATGACTTCCATGGACGGACTCCATTTTTAAATTCGTATAGACTTTTTGGTATCGCCWCAGCGAAAGATTTCACATAAATAGGGCTGAGAAACTTCTATAAAAAAAGATAAAGAATTATCTCGGGAACTACTCGAAATTTTTCAAGACTGTATAATGTTATAAATCAGAATCGTTTACAAAATTGATAGTTTACTGATTTCCGTGCGGACGGGACAAATTATGTAATAGACGCTCACTATATTAAATACACTGAAACTTCGCTAAACTGACCAMCGAAGGGAGATTAAAAACTAACGGGGTCGTCGTATTAATCGGGGGTGGAGGGGAGGAGAGGGCCGGGGGGGATGTTGGTGCAGTTGGACAGCCCTGTGGTCGTACATATAGCAAAAGAAAGACAATTACATAAAATGTTCAAAGTATAAAAAAAAATCAAACAGGATCAGTACCTAATCCATGGCAATAAAATTTTGATTATTTATGATTATAATACTGTAAAATCGCTGTAGATCTTCCACTAAACCCCTCTAAATGCCATTTAATTGTGTTTGTTTCCATGTCATGTAAGTCTAGATCGTAAATCTAAAGTCTGGAACTTAATCGATAGTTTTTTTTCAGAGATACACAGTAAGAAATATTTGTGTAAATTTTCAAAAACATAGCCTCTTAAAAAGCTAGCATCCCAATTGGATATCGATAACCATATGTGATTCAGTTTTACGCATGCTTATTCGTTATTAGCCACTGCTCCAAAAAATTGTTGTCATCAGTGTTTCAGATACGTTTTTCTCTGGCCTTCAAATATAGACTGACATAAATTTGTGTCTCCGAAGTTTTTTATACCCGTAGATTGCGTTTTCAAATAATAAATTGCTTTATAAACTTAAGGTTTTTCAAAATTTCCGTATACGGTCAAACGCGTGTAGACCCAAACCGTTTTAACACAAAATTTTATTCCGTTCAAAAAAAAGGCTTCCGTTCACGTGTGAAAGGGGTCACAATGTCTTCTCTCAGTCCTAACACGTTTTAATAAGAAATTAAAGTGTTAAGCGGACACAAACATTTCCGTTCACGAGCTAAACTGGTCACAGTGTCTTCTTTTCCATGTTTTCACATTGTAAATAAAATAATAAAAATATCATAAAAAAATTAATATATACTTTGTAAAATTTAGTCCAACAGCGACGTAAACTTCGTTTCAAAAAGTGCACAATGCATCGACTTGAAACTAAAAGAATTCTACAGAACTGCTATTGAAGACTGCCTAAGAGACGCCACAGACTCAAGAAAGAGAGTGTTTTTCAGATAGGACAAATGCCTCAAAATCAAAATGTCAAAATGTCGAATTATAAAACTAAAATGGACTAAATCTTTGCTTTGAGATTCAATGAATTGTAAAATTGAAAATAAACTATTTGTTGAATAAAAATGTGCATTGTTATGAAGCGTTTTGTATCTTTTCTTACCCTTACATAAAAAAACCGCTCTATAATACTAGTTCCTTGCAAACCTGCAGGTAGAAGCACCACGAACAGGGGTCATCGGCGCGTGACATGACGCGCGTGAAAAATGCAAAGAAATGTATAAAGAACTTAAAATGAGTTTACTCACTTCCTCGACAGTTAACTCCTTTTCGTAGTGTCTAACGTTTGGAATTAATGATTCTTTCAGAATCGGAATTCAACTGGAATTACTTGACATCGATTTCACACTGCATCCTTGTTATTTGCGAGACTTCAGCTTGAGACTTTACCTGCCCAAACAAAATGGTGGCCAAAACCGTCACCTCGACTATTGTACTTGAGAATTTGGAAACTTTTAAAGGCCGCAATATCGGTCAAACACATACAAAGGACATTCAAAATATTGTTACAAGTACAAAACGAATTATTAAACTCGCGCGATCACTGCATACAAACAAATCGAAGCTTAAATGGAGTATACGTACTTCAATATTTTCCTGTCGAAGGTCTTTTAGCACTATACGTTTCGTACGTAAACGTTTGGCATACGTTATGCCTTGATGAAATACATGAATGCGTACGTCTTACATAAMTTATGTTCTACATAGTCATAACTTATGCACCTTGCACTAAACTTTTTTGACTCCAAAGGTTCGATTTGGCTCTGGCGTAAATGCGTGCGGACACTTGTAATATACGTGCGTTTTACGTAAATACGTACGTTTTGCGTAATAGCATGATTTTTGCATAAAATCCACATACGTTTGAGTATGCACTTCAATGTCATATAGAAGCGTACGGTGTAGATACGGAAACGTTTGATGTACGCACAGTTCCTGTATTTGAATAATACGAACGTTTGGTATACATGCACGCGTTTTCTGGACACGTTGTGTATACGTACCTATGCTCACTGTAAAGAGCAAAAAAACAAATTGTTTTTATTTAACCATTAGTGATAAATAATGGTAAAATCYGACMCAGTGGGCACCTTGTTTTGAAAATATCAGTGCGAGATTTTCCGCACACGTCAAGGATCCGAGCTTCTTAGTGTTATAATTACAAACTATAAATTTCGAGCTCAAAAGAAAACAAATTAAAAAATAAGAAAATTGAGTATGGAAATTGATTATATTTTTCAGGAAATAGTCTTTATTACACAATGATCTTTGAAGTATCTAAATTTCTCTCTTTCGRAAAGTTGTTATTTTCACTATTTAAAATAACATRTGAAAATAACATTTTCGAGGTTTCTCTATGTATTGGAAGTAAAACGAAATGGTATTTTACAACATAATTTGCTTTCATATATAATTATACGGTAAACAGAATGTTACATGGTCGCTTGGAGATACGAATTTTATCTTCTCGTGTTGAAAATCTCTCCGACTCGTTCGCTACGCTCACTACGATCTTTTCAAAAATAAAATCCGTATCTCCTCGCGTCTTCAATTTTTTCTGGTATTTTTTTCATACTTCGACCGCTATAGATCTCTTAAAATTCTTGAAGGAGGATTTGGTATAAGTATTCATTATATCTTTGAAACACTTCGTTTTGAAGAGGACATTGTGCTAATTTTGTAATATTTCTTAGTACATCTAAGTTTGTTGTACAACATGCCATATTGCATAACACTTGGCAAAATGTATAAAATGCTCTCATTAACAAAGATGTCCACTTTTAAAAGTACTTGAATTTCTTTCTAAGTCCTTATTGAAATTGAAATCTTCGAGGGTAATGAGTTTTAATTATCAATAAAATACCTATAAAATTGTTATTTTCACTAGTTTAACATGTTATTTTCACTAGTGAAAATAACGCATTCGAGGTTTCTTTATATAGTGAAAGTAAGAAAAAAGCTATTTCACGACATAATTTACTTTCATATGCAATTATATGATAAATAGAATATTACATGGTAGCTTGGATAGTAAAAATTTTATCTTCTCGTGTTGAAAATCTCTTACTCGTTCGCTACGCTCACTCGTGAGATCTTTTCAACACTCGAAGATAAAATCCGTATCTCCGCGCGCCCATGTAATATCCTCTATATTTTCATCAGTGAAAACAAGACATTCGCGGTTTCTCTATATAGTGGAAGTAAGAAAAAAGCTATTTTACGACATAATTTACTTTCATATGCAATTATATGATAAATAGAATATTATATGGTCGCTTGGAGATGCAAATCCATATCTCCGCGCGCCCATGTAGTATCCTCTCAGTCACCTTCTGAGAAAAAAAAAACTTGATTAAAGCGAATTGCGCACACATTTTCCATTTCTCAGAGATTTGACGCACCCATTCGAGAAACCCGAATTTCAGTCAGAAGAAAGAATCTTTAAGATGTTTTGTTTACTCTATAAAAATTATCTGTCGGCCTCAGCACTTGAAATTCTACTTCAGCAGTCGAATTACTGAAAAAAATAATCAAACATTCAACGAAGTGCTGTCTAATTAACTATGTTGCTTTTACTCTAAAATGCCTTTGGCTAAATTATTAGGAAATTCGAAAAGTTAAAACGTCCGACGATATTACAGAAACAGTTTATATAATTACAGTTGTTGTTAGAAAATTTAGCGTTTCAGACGTTGTTCCCCAGAGAGTCGCCGTGTTGGTCAACAAGTCAATGAAATTATGAATAAGTTAACGCAGTTATAATTAGTTTCCAACTCTCTTTGATCACCGTTACTAGAACAGTATTCAGAAACTGGTGGAGACCACTTTTAGTGTACTAGAATTTATTATTGTCACTCCTACTCGTCTATTTCTCTCTTAGCGAATTACGCTTTGCCGCGTCAAAGGTTTATAAAACCCACTCTAAAACGTCTGCTTGCAACGTGATAAATCAATAAAGTTGGTGGAACAATAGCTGACTTTGCAGATCGGCAAACGCGAACATTCCGAGTAAATTTGATATCTGAATGACTCCCACCTTCTTGATTGATCCTCGATTCACATACTAACTTTGTTGATTTGATAATGGCTCGATTCTAAATTAGTCATAGCTAAAATTACTTTCCCGTCCGCCCTTGCTGTCGATCTACTTAAAGCACATTAATATCATTAGCCGTATAGAGAGAGAGCTTTTGAAATTTGCGTTGGTGGGAGAAGGCGGGATTTACTATATAACGACCTGTAAATTACTATATAAAAACCGTTCACCGTTAATAATTTTAAAGAGTTTGTATATCAGGAAAGACGATGGAGGCACTACAAGTCAAGTTAAGCTTCATAATGATACTTTGGAGTTTTGTATTTTTCCAATGTAGTCAACAGCAGTTTGTTACGTGTGTCTCAAGCAACATTCCAAAAGGAAAGAGAAATAGTAACATGGTAAGTTTTGTAATGAACTTCAAACCTTTGTGTAAAGTATGGGAAAACTTTTAGTACCCTTAGTATGTTTTTTTTTTTGTGGTTTGAAAGTTGACAAGATCAATAGGCAATCCCACACCATAGTTGTTTTGATGTGCTTCTTATGATATGTAAAATTGTAATTTTAAGGATTTTTTTTTGCATGTAAATCGATACTTCCATGATGTTAGCATAGTGTTATAGCTGGAAGACTGCAATTTCATTCTTAGAAAGCAAATGTCAATGGTATTCATAGATTTGTACCGAAAATTAGCTCTATTTCGACTTATGTCAACGGTGATTTGCGCTTGAGATTAGTGCGACTCTTCCCACACCCATCCCTTAAAACTGTGAATTTGAGATTTTAACCCAAACTCGTTTTCAATTGTATAATAAATAATATAAAGAATTCTTTTAAATTGCTTAGCAGTCATGAAGATCAGTTTTAAGTTAGAAGAAGTGCCGTGTACAAGGTTTCATAAGGGTTCCCCGGGTGCTAAAAATCAGTCAGCCACGCCCTTTTTTCAAGACTTCCGGGATCCTTTAGGGGTCTTTATGAACATTTCTGACGAGAATCCCCAGTACTTTTACGTCGGAGGGGAGGTCTGTTTTGTTTTTTGGTTTCAAGACTGTGAAGATGGCGATTGACTGCAAACTTGTATGATTATTGTTCTGGATTTACACCGAACATACTGTTGGACATTTTTGTTTTGCCTTATTGCTTTGGCAAATGGTCTCATCTTTCTCCAAACACTTCGTCTAACAAGGGCGGTGGGGAAGGGGTAGGGGAGGTCGAGAACCCCTGGAATCTTCCCCTATACACGCTCCTTTTGTTTGATTATTTTATTATCGATTTTTGAAACTTTATATCGACTAAAACTATCTGATGTGTATGTTGAAGCAAAAAGATATCTTAAACAACGGGCAGTCTTGTTAATTGTTTTCATATATACCTATATTTCAAAAAAGGTTGTCGGATGGAATGGCGAATGTCAGTTGTCGAATGGCGATTGCATGACCGAAAGTAGCCATGGGTTTTGCTAATTGATGAGAAATAACAACTGATTTGTACTGTAAGATAGTCAATGGTAAACAGTGGATCCATTTAGTCAACATTTCTATTCAAGGTGAATCCAATAAGTAAAATTTTGTTTGTCAAAACAGTCTAGCCCCTTTCGGTCGTGCAATCTCTCACTGTTCGTCGTTCTCCCCGACAACGTTTTTTGAAATAGGTGTACATCGCAAACGTTTGGTAGAAAAAATCTAAAGATTAATCTTTCGCCGTTCTCCCCGACAACCGTTTTTGAAATAGGTGTAATTCGCAAACGTTTGGTAGAGAAAATGTAAAAATAAAAGCCTTTGGGATTCCATACGAGCAACATACGAGGTTTAATACGATTTTCTAAACATTCTTATTGTTTACAGGTAAGACAAAGACAGTCTTTGAGTCAAATGGTGCAAAACTCAGGAAAATCTTTAAAGTTTTCAAGGAGAAGAAGTAAAACGGTTCCTATCATCGGCTTTCTTACATTCAGTAATTACACAATGGAAACGACAATGTGAATTGTCCTGTATATTATAATATAAAGCTATATTATAATATTTGCACCTCCAAATGGAGAAGACTTTATAAACTGCTGATCTTATATATATCGCTCTGATGTGTCAACAAGCGACCCTTGAGATCACTGCAATCCTTGAACACTGAAGTTTGTATTTGCACATAATAAAAGCCGCTTTAAACAATTTGCTGCTGTGGTTYATAGAGTTAGACAGAGATTAATTACAGTAATTATTAAACGTCGAACTTTGGCGTTGCCATAATTATCATGATATGATCATAAGGTAGTCTTTATTCCGACGAAGGATTAACGTCCGAAACGTCAGTAAGTTGTTTCGCCTACGTATTTACGGTGCTAAATTTATCTTCTACACAAATATTTCTTTATGAACACTGATGCAGCTCACATGCACTAGTTTACCTTTAGTAGCCACCATTTTTTTTTATAAAGGAATAAAGTACATTTGTTGAAATTTTTCCAATATTTCACAGGGATCTATCATTCATAAACCCACCCAGTTCGCTTCGATTTCAAGGCGCGGTTACTTTTCAAGATGGCGCAGGAAATCGCAAAGGAGACTATTTGCTATTTACAATTTTTTTTATATTATGACAATAATTTTTAATCAAGCATTTCTAATTGAGAACTAAGACAGTCTTTTTAGATAGCATTTTTGAGAAAATTGCTATTTATTGTATTTGAATTGATCAATTGTTTTTTGTTTTTCCTTTGGTTGCCTTTTAAGAATTCGTTAACGTTATTGACTTACTGACGCATGTAAAAGACAGCGGGTATGCTGTGTTTTCGTCACATCCACAGCGACAACTGCGTCATACTTTATATACGCTCAAAAATATCATGGTTAATGTAAAATACAATTATCAAGAAAAGGAAATACTTCAAATTGTACTTAACAATGAAAGACAATTTTTCCTTCAGAAAAGACTGGAATGGTTGAGTAATTCAGGTTTATAAATTGTCACGTGACACGGGCTGGGCGCATTGCGTTCAGCGGCGTTCCCCATAACCTGCTCGCGTTGTACAGCGACAATACAGCGACAAATGCAAATAAAATCAGTCTGAGAATAGTTTCTATTGGGGTTCCTATACATGTAACTAAAAACAAAATACGTCCCACAGCTTTGCGCGTGCTAAATGATAAAGTTACTCGTTGAATGCTTTTGTTTAATAAAACCAAATAGAAAATCCATAGAAAAAAGCCTGTTGTATAACATTGAATGCGAAAACTGGCCTTCTTTGAGATTGGCTGACGTTTTTCTTCTGACCAGTCACGTGATACTATAGTACAAAACCGGATATTAATTCGCTAGCTTTGTGGTTAGCCAGTAAAGAGCGAAAGTTCAGTCCTCGTTTTTCTATTCAAGAATTTTCCGCAAAAATCTATATAAACCTAGGTAACTATATAAAGGAAAAAATCACTTGAGCAAGTGTTGCCTAATTGATTCTAACAAACACAGAAAAACCAAAAGAAACTCCAGGTGTCTTTTACTTCGTGGCCTTACAAAACCGATTATCACATATTGCATGGCAATTCAACTTCGAAGAAGCCATGATCATATGAAAACATCAAAGAAATATAAAGAAACATAGCTTTAAATCTGCCCTTTATACTTTTCATATATGTAATAGCATTTTGCTCTCAGTTGTCAAATTTGAGCATTAAATTAAGCTAAACACGTTGGTCTTTCCTAACACTACGCTAATTATAACCATTTCATAAATGTGTCCACATTAAAGCATGTCTATTAAACCACTAATGATAATTGCTGTAGCTTATCGATCAGAAATGTAGTGTTCCTCATTAGATCTTTCACCACACTAATCGTTATAATAGCAAAGACTAAGTGATACGCTTGAAATCTCGTTTTTTTATGTATAATAGGAATTCACTGTGGGATCGGATATCGAGTGAGTCTTTAGAAAGTACAAACCTGCTTTATCTCACAATGTAGTGTGTGGGTGCTCTGGAAATATTTTCTTCTTGTAAAATAAAGTATCTTTTTGCGTCACTGACCAGAACAGATCTCATCATTTGTATAAAATTATAGATTTTTTACTTCAGAATGTCTGTTTATCATTTGTAATATTTTCATTAGATTTTAGTCATTTTTTCCAGTGCAAAAAGTCAATATATGTTTTTTTGGATTTAAAAGGATTGAGCTACTGAGTCACTTATCGTTTCTTCACGCCAAATAATAAAATGAAACTTATAAAATGAAAATAGAATCACATGAAACTAAAACAACAACAAACGAACAAGACAAAACAAAAAACGCACACACATAAGACAACCTGCTCAAGAACGCAAGAGAGATTTCTTCATTTTAATAAAATGTTTACTTTTTTAACGTTCAAAGTGTAGAAAAACAATCGAGAATTGACAAACATGCCATTTAATCCCACAAAATTCTCTCGTCAATTAGTCTTATTCCTTGATAATTTTGATGTTCAAGAAGAGCCTTTCAATATATGATTTGTTGAACTCTATGTTTCCAACTAATAGTTGAATATTTTAACGAACGAAATTAGTCTAGAGATTCAATGAACAGCACATGAGAAAGAATACTGAATGAGTCATTCTAGGGCGAAAGTGTACCTTTCGAAAATTGCAGCCCGCGAGGCAGCAAAAAATGGCGGGAAAATGCAAAATATTGACGCGCGCGCGCATCCATGGCGATCCTTGTTAGAACCATAATATTTCAGCAATCAGAGCACACTTTTAAATCAAAATATACTGACTTTTCAAGAAATAGAATGTGTTCTTCCTTTTGATTCAAAAGGAGTCGACCTTATAAAGTTTCAAGCGATAATTGAAAAGCAATGTTCCATTGAATTATAGTTACAAAGGCCGATAGTTGAACTGACACAATCAAAAATCATTTCTTGTCGTTGTTGTTGCCGTTTCTTTAAGCTCGTATGTTTATGTTTTGCTTTTGTTTCTCCGCTTTTTTTATTAATTTAAACTTGGTCTGACTTCCACAACTTCCAGGTCGACCTAAAATTAGTAAAACATTTTCTGAAAGGATGTATAAATAACATGAACTGTGACTTTCTTTTTCTCCAGAGTTTTCGCCATTACTCCACATACTTTAGTAAATAAATGTAATACTGCATTTCATTTTCAATCAGAACTTGAGCTCTCCGTGTGTGGTTGATTGTTATTGAAGTATTTTTTAAAGGATATATATTCTTTTGTCTATCGCCTTTTAAAATTATTGCCACATTATTAAAACTGGGCTTGGTTCGTACATTAACGAGCGTGGATAATTCTAGTTGGGATTAACTTCATGGAAGATACAATTAGTACGCGGTGACGATTGAGCTCTTAAGACATATTAACTAATTTTTCCCTATTTTAGTATTAGCAAAATGCTATAAAAATCTTCCAGTTGACAAGGAATTTCACTGATCAAGAACGTACAGTTTGCATATATCCATTCAAGATGAAACTTGTAGCTTGCGCTATTTTATTATGTTTTAGCCTAATGGTCTTCCACACAGAAGCCTTCACAGCAGGTATAGGAAATTTTGGTAAAAGAGAAATCCTTGAGGTAAGATAGCCTGAACGTTTTTTTATTTACTGAAACTATATAGTGTAGAAAACAAAAATACATTAGAATAGCTCGTGTGTTGAGATACAAATATTTCTCAAAAATTTAATTATATGGTAGCATTTTTGTGGTCTAAAGGCGAGCTTAACAACTGACATGCATTATACTGCAACGATCTGTATTCAAGCTAAGGCAAAGTACATTTATTTTGCCGAAGAGGGAGGTATAAATATATATCATATAAATATCTCATTAATTTTATGAGCCCCTGTACCCTGCACTGTAAAAGATAGAACTAAACTTTTGGAAATCATGGACGTTGTTCTTGAGTTTAATCTAATGAATAGTTCATTTAGGACCCTGCCACTGACTCAGCTTCAAAGGATTATAAAACTCCCTTGCCTCGCCTATTGCGTATTGCACATCACTGACTAACAATATTGTTTGAAAATGCTGTGTGTAATAAATAGTTGTTCGCAATTAGTTGTAGGTTTACTGTTTAAGACTCAAAACACAGATGTATTGATTAACTAACCGGACTTAAAAACCAGAACCATCCGACAATTTGGCATATAGTAAGACGAGTGATAATCCAAGGATGGAAAGCATACTGTGCAAATTCAACTTTTGAATTATGTACAGAAGATCGTAATGACCGCTATATTTCGATTTTATTGCAAAATCATAATCATGCTAAAAGTTAACCGGACTTAATTTTGATAAACGGTGTAAAAACCTAAATGCTGTTCAAGCTTTCACATGATTTTAATTAGCTGATTTGAGGAATATAACACCCATTTAGACTATCCAGAAAACATTCAAAGACATAACAGAACTCTAGTTAAGATGATTAAATGGTGGTTTCTAATTTATCGAGACTTGAAATACCTTTAAAGCATTAGTCGATACTCATTACAAACACCCTTACGTTAAGGAAATTAGGGCGTCACTGTATAAAAACGATTGAAAATTCTTCACGAAAAATGTTTTATTTGGTCTTAATTTATCAAAACATAGAAATTTACGTCTTAAATCAATCTATCAATCTTTCGATTTATCTATTAATCTTTCAATCAATCAATCAATTAATTAATTAATCTATCATTCGTTCAATCAATCAATCATTCAATCAATCAATCAATCAATCTCAATCTATCAATCAATCCATCAATCCATCAATCTATCAATCAATCAATCTATCTATCTATCTATCTATCAATCCATCAATCCATCAATCCATCAATCCATCAATCCATCAATCTATCAATCAATCAATCAATCAATCAATCAATCAATCAATCAATCAATCAATCAATCAATCAATCAATCAATCAATCAATCTCAATCTATCAATCAATCAATCAATCAATCAATCAATCAATCAATCAATCAATCTATCATTCAATCAATCTATCAGTAAAAAACAGAGACGATTTTGAAGGGGGTCCACAATGCTGTGTTATAAAAAATGATATTAACATTCTGCGTGTTTTGTGTTTCGTATTTCAGAACAATCTTCGTCGTGTCTGCCGATATGTAAGAGACACACGAGGCATGGACCGAGGCAGAATGTCAAAACAACAATACCAAGACGTACGAGAGATTTGCTTTAAATAAGGCTGCAACATGCTTATAAGAATATTGTAAATTTAGATATATTCACGGAAAAAGGATACCATGAACTGTACTGGAACCGAAAATTTATATTTGATAGAACTATATCATGTTAAGACATTGTAATTAAAAAAAATGTCAATAAAAAAAGTCTTATTGTCTATTCAATGTATCTGTTGCATTTACTGCCATTTGATATGGTATAACGGAGAAACTTTTGTCAAAATAAAAAATCCATTGTTCCGATTTGCTGATTGGTTAATCGATATATGACGTCATAGTTTTTTGATTGATCGCTCCTTCGTCGATGTTGAAACGTCATTCTGTTATAAAAGGGCCCACAATAGTTAATATACAAAGGGCGGGTCAGTTTCTGCCACATGAGAAAAGTGGTATATATAGAGTCACGGGAGAACTTTTGAGAAGTGCCAGATAAATTAGACTAATGTTTTGAAAAATATGGCGGAAACATTATTAGAGAACTGATGTTTATATAATTTGCTTTGTTTTATAACTTGTATTTTTGTACATGAAAATGCAATTTCTTCGTATATTTGCCGAACTCTGGTGCCAGTGCTTGATTACATTTTTTTGGGGTGTGTACATCGTCAACATTAATTAGATTTTCCTGATTTCTCTATCTCATCGAAGGGCCATGGTTGACCGGCATCCCTTACGAGCTTTTCTTTGTGTTTGAAACTAAAAATACATTGTACTATAAGCAACAACTTACTCTCTATGATCCCTTTATGCTCTATGAATGTAGATATTCTGAGATTCGACCGTCAAACCGAAGGATAGATTTCAAGAAAGGTTGTCGGATGGAACAGCGAACGGCGATTGTCGAAGGGAGATTGCACGACCGAAAGGGACTATATTTGCACTGTTTTGATAGACAAAATTTCACCTATTTGGATCCACATTACATTGAAATGTAGACTAAATGGAGCCAATGTTTACCTCATCTTACAATATAAATTATTTGTTATTTCATTTCACCAAGCAAAATCCATGGCTACTTTCGGTCGTGCAATCGACGTTCGACCATTGACATTCCGCCTTATTTTATCCGACAACCTTTTTTGAAATAGGTATATACGAAAGATCTAGAACACGACCGCAGAGGATCTCGGTTTAGATTTTTCACCCTGACAACTATGAGCGTATCAAACACTATCAATTGCCGAATAAATTGGGATATGTTAATGTAATAGTTGTTTGTGAACTTTCTAGTAAATGATATTCAACTAAATACCTAGAAAAGAGATTCAACTAAATACCTAGAAAAGAGGACACATGCAGTGTGCTAGATTGTAGCACTCAACAACAGACTAATGATTTCAAAATACTATTTTGGAAAGGTTCATTTTATTCTGGTTAAGTCGTTCAGTGTTAGAATTAACGTTCCTAGTAAATATGTGTGCAATAAAATTAGTAGTCGGACAAATTTTGATTCGCAATTTAAACATTTCATCTGTCTGCTACATGATAATCACTGAAAAAATGAACTAATTCAAATGATAAACTAAAAGAATATCACTTTGTAAGAAGTTTGGACTTAAAAATACTACAAATTGAAGTTTAAAGGATCGATAAACATGTTATGCTTATAAATCTACATTTCTTAAAATTGTCGAAAATGTTTTCGAAAAAGTGCTCAACTTTGTCAAGGAGCAATGCATAAAGAGATATATGTACAAAAACAGCTCAAATTCTATGTTCAGCTTTCATCGTACTCGAAAATCGCGTCGCCTGCGCAAGCGTAGCGCTTGTGTAGCCGCGGCTTAACGACTTGAATGATTCATTGTTTTATTATTGCTACAAGCTGGTTTCGTATGGTCATCAGAGATGACCACACTCATCAGGCAAGTCCCACCATACTTTTTGTACCGTATGTTCGCACAAGTGGCCTGTGACATTTCTCTCGCTGACTAATAAAGGTCCACATCGAGGCCCTGCTTTATCAGCCCGAGTCGTCTCTATAAGTGTCAGTTTAGTTAAACTTTATGTGATTATTTCTCTTTCTCGTTAGATAACTGATCTATGGAGGATGCTTTTACTTTGTTATGAACTGGTTAACCTAAACTTAGACTTACTTGAAGAAACTAGAAAAGGAATAATTAAATAAATGCGGAACTGACGCCTGAAAACCCGTAGCGTCATCCGCCTGTTAAGAAATTACCTCATCCAATAAGGACAATAATACAGGGAGTCAAAATAATTATTAATTTGATTAATTAGGAAAACTGCCGTTAAAGCTTGTCTTAAGTAAATGACATCAAAGAATATCTTCTCCTCTGCACCTTATAATATTTATTATTTAGTAATGTACACTTTTACAGCCAGAATTGTAACCGAAATGCCTTTCAAAAATGTTCGTCCGCCATTGCCTTATGTGACGTCATGGACGCACCATTCAAAAAATAGTTACAACGAAATGTTGGCTTTGAATATTAGACCTCAATGACGGTCAAAATGAATGCGATATAACCTCCAAATTTTGCAATTATAAAACTATTACAAAAGCGCGTTGGGTTTGCGTCGAGTTAATTGTTTTAGAAGTCAATGCGCCTGTGAATCTATCGGTTTTCCTGCGAAATTCACTGGGCACTAGTAATGTATCGACATAGACTTTGGCCAGATAACTATTTGGCGTTTATTTCTTCTTTGAGTATATTTCAAGAATTATGCCTCTTACCAAAGACTAGCGCACTTTAACAGTTTGATTGTCAAGTGAGATGCCACTTCAAATCATAAACAACTTGAGCAAACTGTCGGCTTTTTGTCATTTAGAACGTTTATTTAGAGAATTTGTCCAATTGCTGTAAGATGTCAATAGAATATAACGTTTGCTAACAGATGGCAAAGCGTTAGTCATGTTAAGTTGATTTCATAAATGTGGGAATCTGGAAGTTAGAGAGCAATGTTCGTTTAGCTGGTCTGAAAATATTGATCAGTGTCTTTGATAAACAACGCTTGAAATTGAAACAAGTTTTCCTCGGCGAGGATTTTGTTATTTTTTTTACATATCTCAATTTCTAATCACTTGGATGATATTTCCTTGTGTTAATTTTGTTTAAAAGAAAAACAATTGTAAACAATTAARTTATGGGTTTTGTGTAGTAASAAACTTATAAAATAAAGCTTAACAAAAGGCAAAAATAGATGTCTGGAAAAGGAAAAGTATAATTAAGAGTTCACAGCTACTCTGTCGTAATTATTGTTGGGTACTCTTTCTAGCTTTAAAGTTTTCAAGATTTTACACAAATCTTTACACAAATGTTCATATATCCATATTTGGCACAGAGAACTGTTTCCCTCTACTAACTATGCCAAATTGTATTTCTTATAAAACAGATGCTTATAAAACAGATGCACCCAAGTGACAACTCCCAATCCAATGTATATTCTTCTAGATCCTTTTTTCCCGAAGAGGTATAAATTGAGTACACCCTGCCTGAATGTAGTAAAAGACCTTTCCTGTTTTGTTGGAGGGTGGAAATTGACCTCGTGTTGTTATTTGAGTGGGCTATAATGAAATTATTAATCATCCATCGTATGGCTCACGTCATTGCATAAATACGCTTCTACCTCAACATAGTTCTGWACAGTTTGCAGTCATGAAGGTTCGTCTGCTTATTCTCAGCCTTGTAGTTCTGCTATTCACGAGTCATTGTGGTGCCTATTCAGGCGGTATGAGACTTTCTGGCAAAAGRCGATATTCAAAGGTATGGCTATGTATTTCAAGTTGTTTATTAAGAATTAGTGCAACTACAATAGGTCATTTCATGGTTGATTTAGTCATTCGAAGTCAAACCATTACCACCARTGAAAAGATCATGCTTGAATKAAAACATTTGCCAAGTTTGARRAAATCTTTTAAGAATTAAATGTRGTCACTTGTAAGACTCCAAAATGCATAAAAAGAATGTATGCCTTTTGTCATGTCAAACAAAGAAATTGAGGATTTTTATCTTATACGCCAGTTCAAATACACGAAAAAAATAGTATAAAAAGAATGAATGTCTTTTATCACTCACCCACATTTCATTCATTTTTCTCTTGGTGATCTTTCTAATTTTTACAGGACTAGTTCAGTGGTAGATCTATTTGTCCCTTAATTTTAAACGCTTGTTTTTGAGTGGGCAGATTAACCATGAAACTTGCTGAACAGGCTTGAAGTGCGCATGTCACCTTTTAGACTATTCGTCATCCAAAAGGGAAAATGGTGCTAAGCACTTCTTTGAGGAAACAGATTCGTCCTCTTTTATGATTGCGTAGCAAACTATTCCTAAGTAGACGCATCTCATCTTTCGGATTCAGTTTCAAATTCCTATAACTCAGAAAATACAATTAAAAATCAATTTCGTCTTTATAGAAGTGCTTGGCAGCGTGTTACCTTTTGGATAAARGCGCGATTTTCTATAAAAGGCGCCATGTACACCTTGACTGGAGCTAAAGCCAAAAGGTTGGCAAATTAAACTAGCTGAAATAGTTTTGACCAAACGGTAATTTGGAGTCTTTTTTTCGAGGTATAAACTGAAGCATGAATGTACATATCTTAAAAGTAATAGAAACAATTGTATACGGTAAACAGAGTAAATTCGTTGCATAACCATGGCCCTAGTTGAGAGTCACTTGAGCTCATAAAAATTTCATTCTCAAATTAAGTTTACATCACTTTCATACAGTAAAGGCGCACAACGCTCACATCTTCAAAGAAAACGGAATAATGAAAAGCAGAAAAAACCCTCTCGCGTGCGGGGGGAAAGGGCGGAATTAAAGTGGTAATAGACGTTTTAGCTAGTATTTAGATTTGTCATAAGGCTGTAGACACGCACGTGAACAATACATGCGACTTGTWCGTGATAGAATTACTGCGTTCAAATAAACAACTACATGCTCGTCTTTGAGGGTCTCACTGGGATAGCAGCCATAACGGCTAAAGATTGAAATTATGACTAAATTTCGCTTGAGGCTATACATATTACATGCACTATGGAAGATAAAGATTAATAGAAAAATTATATTAAATAAATCTGAAAAACAGACGTGTATTCTCGGGGCTCATAATCTGAGAAGCTACGCTTTTGATATGCTTTTAGAAGTGACTAAGTCCCCTGGATGATGAACCGCGGTATTTCGAAACATCCCGTCATACTTGATGTATGAATTATTAATTTTGATTTCAAAACTTAATTATTTTAATGATAATTAACTTTTCATGATGTTATAAAGTTGATGTAGAAAAACATAACACTCAAGATTAAGTGTGCATTC